CTCAATCGAGCTTTAAGAAATAGATATGGTGACGACAAGATCCAGCAGAAGAAAGAAAGCAATCATCTTGCCTGACTTGTGGGTCACTCATTATGAAATCAGTAGAACCGGTCGAAATGTTAGCTCGGTACGTGTATACATAATTTCCTCATTTTTCTCAATCTATATATGTCACATGTGTCTATGTCATGTGGTGCGTTTACTTATCTCTTTTAAGGGAGTTTCTTCAAGCTTAAATATGATTGTTATTTAGATTAATTCATGATGATTGTTCTGATCATCTGCGTTAATTTGGAGCCCTTAATTTGAGGTTGAGTTTGCTACACAATTTTTATCCTTGGAATTGAATCAGTTTCTTATGTGAACAATAACATTTTGTAATTTGTTTTTGTTGGCTATAAGGATTTTATTATAGTCTTGAATTGAGGTGTTAGTATACAGTTTATTGAAGAGATACCAACTTTTTTTTGGTAGTTATGGCTTCCACTATATATGCTTTGGATTCTTGTTGACTGCTATTAGATATCAAACTCTTTTTGACCCAAGTGCGCATGTATAACTTTGGATTCTTGTCTCAAAATGTTCTTGTTCATCATTGATTCTGCCTTCACACTTGTTAACATTTTGAGTTTATCTACTTGTTCTTGTTGCAGTACTACTACTTCAATGTGAGAACAAGACAAAAGTTTTACTCGAAAACAGCATTCTACAGTCACTTCCGTAGAATGGGATCTAAGGTAAAAAACATTCAGCCAAAATCTTATAAAAATAATTAATTTGTTTTTTTTTCCACTAAATTAATATGCAAATCCTACCAATTAATTAATGATTGTTTGTTTGAAGAGACAAGCTTGGTTCAAGAGAGAAACAGCTGAGGAAGAGAAGGATCAAATGTGTTCAAGATGCAAAGAGATTGGACATAACTGCACTACTTGTCCTTACCCAATCATTCATAAGATTGTAAGTATTAATGTCTTTTACACACACACACAAAGTCATTTTATGAATGTATATATATATATTTAAAAAGAGAGAGAGAGATATTAATTTGATGCATTGATCATTTGCAGAATCCTTATGCAGGAAGGAGGATCCATAGGTGCAGTCGATGTCACTACCTTGGCCATAACGTCCGTACCTGTCTTCGACCCCTACCATAGCTATTTGTATGTTTGATTGCTGGAATATCTAATCGAAAGAGAATAATTAATCACTAAGTTCATTACAAAAACTAAAAGGTCGAATTACTAGTTTGGTACATCCCTAGGGATTATATGCTTATCACTAAGTACACCTGAACAACTTCTCTTTTCTCCTAATCCTTGGAAGTTCAATGCTCACTTAGTAGTTTCTACAAGAACACGTACGCATCCATATGATTATTTTCCCTTAAGTACGTACTAACATAAGTTGTAAAGTCCACTTACATAAAAATGGCAAAGAGGAGATAAGTGCCTTGGAATCAGATTGAAACACTGTGTTTTAACTCTTTAAAGAATAGGCATTGGATTAAAAGGAACCTTGTCCAATTCAGAGAGTATCTGAGCTGCTACAATATAAATAAGACTTGCAAGTTTTTTATTTAATCAAAATAACAAATTCATCTTTAATAGATGTTGTGAAAACCGTGTTATCTTTTGTAGTGAATCTTTAGAAGGTATAAATAGAGTTCTTCTTAAGACAAAACATAAAAGATGAAGACACAATCACGTCTCCTGCATGCTCCATATCGTAAACACTTTCGAAACAAAAGCTCGTATGTTGTCTTAATCTTAGGTGGGAAAGTATCTCCTGTAGGAACTTCGTGGAGGAGATGCTTTCCTCCCAAAGACCAAAAGACAACATACGAGCTTCTGTCTCGAAGATATATACTTGCAC